TTCGCAATTACTATTTTCACTACGTTGGATTGCGTTTAAATTAAACACATGTTAATTCAATTCCTTTTAACTGTTACCTGTGCACTACGTATTGTACAGGTCTCATACATCTGATAATTTACTTTAGGAAATGTACCATGTTTATTAGTAGCATTTATCAGTTGCAATATTTAATTTTCTTTTCATTAAAATTTAAATCTCCCGAATTTTATTAAATTTACAATAATATTTATAATATTCATAATAACGTTTGTGATATTTATAATATCTATAATAATAGTTGCAATATTTACAACAATATTTATAATATTTAATAAAATACGTCAAAAATTTCAAGAGATACGAGTTCTGAAATCTGATAATACTTAATATACGACTTTCAAGGATTCAAAAATTAGGCTTGAGCCTACTCTTGCTATATTTACTCACAAACTAGGTCACTAGTTCTAGTGCTATAAGTTTCAAACAAATACATACAGAGGGGGTCACGAAAGTATTCAAACGTCATATTTCAAGTGAATTCTCTAGCCTAAAAATTTTGATTCTAATAAAAATTCACGTGTATGTAAAACATAACAGGTTACACATAAAATAATTTTTTTATCAGCTGAAAACATCCTTGAGGGGGTGAAATCAGCGATCAAAGTTTCGTCACTTTTTTCCATCTTTTAAACAAAATTTTTAGGACAGGTGTATAGTGCACTAAAAATTAAACATTCTTCGTTCACTTTCGTCTCTTCACTATGGAAGTTCATCAACATGTTCTTCGTCAAATCTTTCTAAAATATTGCTTGCGATAGTAACATGATTATTGTGAAATTGAGATTTATCCGTCACTATTAATAATTATTTATCTGAAATTAATTAATATTGTTGTAAATATGGTACTTGATTATTCATTTTCGTGTAAGGTGTTGTATCTCATCGAATGTCAATAACGGCGTGCAGTAATGCATGTCTCATTATACTGCACAATTTATGGCGCAATTACTCGTGATTTAATAAGTACACGTGTTCTAATTAATAAGCGATCACTATATATCAGAAAAATAAACGTAGGTAATTTTCGTAAATTTTATAAACCATTGTCATCTTTTAACCTAGCTGACAATTTTAAATAAAATTTCTGAAACCAAGAAAATATTTTTAACTCATTTATATATATATATATATTAAATCAATATTTATATTAATATCCAAAATATAAATATTAAATTCATATTTATATGATTACAATATATAAATTATTATATATCAATTATATTTACATACTATATTATACATTAATTGTATATTGAATTAATTATAGTTAAACCGTAAAAATATTATAAATATCTAATTTCATGAAACGAAAATGTTTTTTGACTTAAATTTTAAATTCTCTCTCACATAAAATAGAACCAAAAGTTATGACATTACGATATCAAAATTTTTAAATGTTATTCTTCTCCTTCGTAAGTTTAATCGATAAAACGTATTGTAAAAGATAAAAATCAGTTGATACCAGACTCGAGGAATATTACGAATGAGGAATGAGTTCCCATTACAACCCTCATATCCCTTTTTGCTATCGCCACATGTGGCCTCGTGTTGGGGAAAGGACACAATATGCCCTCACGATTCAGGAAGAATGGTTTTCTAATTTGCAGTTATTGCATTCTTTCAAATTATTACATCAAGATATAAATCAGTACTGAGGGTTGTGCTTCCATTGAGTAACTCGTAATAAATTATCCTACGCATGCTCCGCCATGTACAGAGGGTGTCCACCCCATTTATTCTCAACGATTTTCGCGTAAATGATACATTTGTGAGAAGAATTGGAGACATGCTTTGTTATATTTTACAATTAATTTTTTACTACGTTATACGCATCTTTTATTATGAATGCTTTACTATGCTTCACATATTTTTATGTAAAAATGTTTCGTTAGTCTATATGCCTGAATAATTTATTACATATGTATAACTATATTATATATAATTTTTATTCTAAATATATCATTTCAAGTGGTTAACTATTTTTTTTGCAAAAAATTATGCTTCGAATAAATTTTTTTAATTTATCACGCTTCCTGCATAACGATAAGTCCATAAATATTTTTAATTATAGTAATATCCATAATTTTTCCCACATAATAAATTTTGTTAGGTAAAATGATTATCAAGATGAATTTAGCTACCTACGACACCATAGGACCCAAAAATACCGAAATGTTTATCCAATATTACTAAAATATTTTGATACCATTAAAATACTTATTGAATATTAAATATTTATATAATTCGAGATTTTTAATTTTTACAATTTAAGACTAAAGTACATTGTAATCTATATTACATTTAATATTATATCTAATATTGTATATATATTTATAATACATTATATATTTATAATACATTTTTTAATACTATATTATACTGTATTAATCTAATAAAACAATAGTTATAATGTTATATAACAATATATCTTATATAATTTATAACAATTGTTATATTGTTATAGTTATATATATCTGAAATTTTTACAATACCGTATTTACTGTATAATGAAATTTTATTGTTTTGGACACGATAAAATTATCCCATCAGAGTTAAATCTTTCTAAGTATCCTTCCAAAAACTGCCATCCGAGTCTCGACAATTTTCCCCATTATATTATTACACAAAACGTACATTTCATCTGTCGTGTCCAGACGTAGCAAAAAATCTTGGGCATACCCAGCGTGAGGCGAAACACAGACAGAGACACGGTCCAATAAATTTTTTATGCTGCATCCGCAGCTTTGGATTAAATCCACTTTCATGCAGATGCCTCGCGATACTTGCATCGCAGATTCCAATCACAGCTGCATTGTCATGGATAATCCGAATTTTATTCCACTAATTTTGTCATCTGCGCGTCGGATGGTTCCGTCGAAGCTCCAAGATTGGAACTTCCAACGCGAAACTTTGCAAACATCAGTGACAAGTGTGAACAGTCACCAGCAGAGCGTCTCCAAGTGCGACACTAATAGTTTTAGCAGCATCTGTTGTACTGTTAGCGAGTTGGGGATCGCGAGACAAGGAATGTCTCAGATTGACTATATCACTTGCCAGTTTAGGGGCTCCTGGCAGTCCTTCTGGATGCCTGATTAGCAAGAGATTTGGGAAAGTTCCTTATTCCAATCTGTTTTATGATATTTCTAGGTATAACTATATTTTTGAACGGGAGATTTAAGGAATGATGAAAGAATGAAACTGACATGGTGGTCAGACGAATAATGTAGAAATAGAACTTAGGTACCTGTATTTTTAAGGTTAGGTAAATTACTATATGCATATCTATAAGTATATTACACATTATAATTATAAATATGTTTATAATTATATACATATACACATAATTATATACATTATACATTATAATTATAAATGTTTATAATTATAATTATAAATATATTATACATCATAAATATGCAGTGTTCCCTTTTGGTGGTGCCTTTTGCCTTAATTTCATCTATTATAAGGTAATTCGTGTAACTATTTAGTCATGTATACTTATTTCAAAATATTTCATATGGTATAATTGGAACTCATATTGGAGATTATTATGAATTAATTTCTAGAATAAATCTAACCAAATAACTTCATTTAAAACTATTAAATATTATTTAAAATTCGTAAAATTTTATTCTTCTTTAGAATAGAAGAAGGACATATCTTGGAGGTTAGACGAATAAAGTAAAAATAGAACTTAGGTACCTATATTTTTGAGGTTAGGTACATTACTATATACGTATCTATAAGTATATTATACATTATAATTATAAATGACTATAATTATATACATATGCACATAATTATATACATTATAATTATAATTATAAATATATTATACGTTATAAGTATGTAGTGTTCCCTTTTGGTGGTGTCTTTTGCCTTGATTTATTCTATTATAAGCTAATTCGTGTAAATATTTAGTCATGTACACATATTTTAAAGTATTTCATGTAGTATAATTGGAACTGATCTTGGAGATTATTATGAATTAACTCCTAGAATAATTCTAACCAAATAACTTTATTTAGAATTATTAAATATTATTTAAAATTCCTAAAATTTTATTCTTTTTCACGAAGAAGGACATATCTTGGAGCCTGCGAGATCCAGAAATTTTTCAGAAATTTATTCAAGAAGATTATGAATTTTATATTTTAAAAAGCCACTAAACGTATATACCAACGAATATTTATAATAAATGAATAAATTTATTGCGAAAATTTATCTGGTTTAAGTTTATAATTATATAAGAAGAAATTAGCTGTGTTGTATTATACTATGACCAATCATATCTACTTTCTTCACAGAGGCTTCCTTCCACCTCTATCAACCCTACACAATGAGATACAAATTATAGTGTGACTATTTACTCTAATAAGAATTTTCTGTCTCTTCATTCAATATTAATTTTATTCTAACGATTGTCGGTAAATGTATCGAAAACCACATGTTATTTTAATATATCAATTAAGTGAATGTAAATAATTCATAAAGAATCTTAACAAAAATTTGTTTAATTACCTCGGTGTCATCTGAAATGTTTGCTCTCATTAATCCATCAGAAATTTCGAAAAATCCTAAATAATAGCCTAATGTTCAGAATTTTCGAAACTGCCCAAGACCATTCGTCACACTGCATATATTTAGCTAAATGAACAAAAAAGCCTATTTTGCGAACCCCGGCAAAGGTACGCTCCCCTAAGTGAGACTATGTCATTCGAGGACTAGACTGCACGCTTCTTGTCCATCGCTGTTGTTCAATTTATCAACACGTTGCTCGTAAATGTCGGCGTCAAAAAAGCAGGCTGAAAGCTCGCGAGAGTTACGCGGGCATCGACACGCGGAGAGGTCCGAAAACCAGGCATAAAAGCATTCGCAGGTTTTTCATGATCACCATAGGATAATATTCTCCCGATGGTTAAACTTCGCGGTACGAGTAAAAAAGAATATATACGTACACAATATGGAGAGCTGCGGCGCCCATTCGATGCACTTAACGTTCTTGGGCAGCGTGGGCATTTTCCCTCCGGAGCACTTCCACAGTATTTGCTGCGGTACTTGCTCGAATGCTCTGTAAAAAGCTGCTAGCGCCTGCTTCGGCATGGTGGACGGGTCTATTTGCGATCCCAGGCTAAAGTAAATAACGCCGTTCTTGCCCTGCGAGTCAAGAAAATCCTCAAGATCTTTCGGCAATGCCGCTGGACCTGATGACGGTATATGGATACCACCTAGCTGCTTCAGACCTGCCGCCAGGGGCCTGGGCGTGCTGACAGCTGGATGAGCGTTCGTTAGAATCAGAGATATCCTTGATCGTATAGCGTCGAAGTCGGGAAGGTCGACACCGAAATGGATTTTCGCCACTTCGTGACTTGGCTTGTCTGATAGATACCTGTTACAGAATTAGAATTAGAGCGAAGCGATCAAATAACAAGTAGACACGAAGTAGGGGTCCACTGTGCAGAGCTAAGGAGTTTGCAAATGAGAGGAACGAGGATTCAATAGGTTCACTATCAGTGACACAATTGTGGAGATAAGTTAAGTGATCTTGTGCAGAGCTAAGGAGTTTGCAAATGAGAGGAACGAGGATTCAATAGGTTCACTATCAGTGACGCAATTGTAGAGATAAGGTGATTTTTTGTCATTGGCTACAACTGTCACATCTACAAGTAGGTTCATACACAGTAGATACCTCGTGATCAGGTGGGACATAGTAGTAGCACTGGTGTAGACATGATGACAGGTAACAGAGTAAACTAATTTAGTTAAGTTAAAACAGTAAATAGTGTTAATTGTTTAGTGTTGATGAAATTACAATTGATACATCTACAAATAGGTTTATATACAACAGGTACCTCGTGATCAGATGAGACATAGTAGTAGCACTGGTGTAGACATGATGACAGGTAACAGAGTAAACTAACGTAGTAAGTTAACACAGTAAATAGGATTAATTGTTTAGTGTTGATAAAATTACAACTGATACATCTATAAGTCGGTTTAAACACAGCAGGTACCTCGTGGTCATATGGAACAGGTATAATACTGGTGTAGACATGATGACAGGTAACAGAGTAAACCAATGTAGTAACTTAACATAGTAAATAGGGTTAACTGTTTAGTGTTGATGAAATCTTGGTACTTTGTACCCTATAGTACCACTATTTACTATATACCCTATAGTACCCCTGTACCTTGAGCCTGAGTATAAACATCTGATTGTGAGCTTTGCAGGGTACCTATAGTTTCTTTAGAGATTTAAAAAATGATTTTAATAAATTTAAAAGTGCAGAGATATCCTGGAAATTGGTCAGTCGTCATTCTCATCATATTTTTGCCTTATCTGTCTCAGGTAGGCACATAAACGTTCCCAATCATGTCTACTGGATCCCTATTTAACCTCACTGTCAATGAAGATGAAAGGCATCCTAGATTACTTTGATTCACCAATATTTAAAATGAGCCACATTCCATCCCAAATTTTGATCAACTTCTAAGGTACCCAGATGTACTTTGTTTGACACTTTGACGTGAGTGGCAATTCATTATTTTGATTAGGAAATTTATGAATATAGCTATCGTTAGCTTCCTTATCTGAATAAACGCTAATTAACTTTTATGACTACTGTGGATGAAAATTTACTTAAAATTCAGCTAATTATAAACTTCAAGTCTTAAATTAACAATCTGATAGCTGTTCACTTCACATTGGATATTATTAAACAGTTATCTCTGAATTATTTAAAGAGAATTTATAAGATGACCTATTGCTAAAACTACCAACCCAGGCAAACCAGATTCAGACTATTTCTATTATTGCTGATTTCAAATATATATTGAGGCTTAGTACATTTAAGGTTTTCATTTTACACTCTCTATAATCCTTTCTATATAGCACGTTTTCTCCATACCAATCGTTCTCATTTACTACTCTAAGGACGCGCTGTTTTTACTCGCAACGCTCATTACCACACACACATACACTCTCACACGCACACCACCGACACGCCAGACCGTGACTTTACCGATTTACAGTTGATTACATTTCATGTAGACAAAATATTTCTTCACATTGCTAAAGTACAGGTACTTCTGACAGAATGAGCGTTAAAAATACAGATAAATATGTAATTATTACTCATTTATCTTCGTTACACGTACACTACAAAAAGGGAGTGATAAATAAGCTACTTTACCTGAAGGCAAGTCTGTTGAAGAAGAAATCCAAGAAGTTGACAGATCTCTCAAATAAATCCATTTGATCAGTCCTATCGCTGAACCAATTGGGCACATAACTAGGGTTCTCAGGATTCCTCAGGATATCGTTCGACCACGGCAGATTGACAGAACTGATCGCTCCAATGACAATGGGTATATCCAACGCGTGAGCGATACCGAGGAAGCAATCGCTGGCAAACAGCTCGACGATGAACACGTCGAATTTCTCCTTGGACTGTAGAATCTTCTTCAGTGCCGGATGGTTCAGGACAGGATCACACGTCGGCACACCGAAGTTCAGCAGCCCCTTCAGTCTGGCCCATTTGGATATCCTAGCTGCGGACATGAACACCTTGGTGCCTACCAAGCTAGGCAGGCTGTTGGTTATATTCACGTCCGTAAAATTTGCTAAGGGCTTCTTCTGAGGAAAATGCGTCACCGACACGACCTGGTGACCCTTCTCTGAGAGCTTCTTCAGCAACGGCTCGAACACTACGTAATGACTCTTCGCCTGGTGCGGGAAAAGCGATAAAATCCTGGCGCCGTTGGCACTGAGCAGCGCAAAACTAGTCACCGTTAGCACGAACAGCAGGTTCATCGTGATTTCACAACGATTCGCGAATTGGACAATCGATAAGTCGAGCAATCGAGAGGTGTTCAGTCTATTACGTGAAAGGTAACGAAGTTCCTTCACTGAGTGTACACTGAGATAAGGCTAGACTGCGAGAGACTGCCTGGGTACGCAGGCTGATGCTTGCTAGAGGATCGAAAGGCACAAGTAGAATGACAGAGTAGTGACGGAATAATAACTGTGCTGGTGAAATCGAGGTCGTCTTGTAATCTGTGTGTGTTTACTCTTTTTTTGGGCCTCGATGGGATAAAAATGTGAAAAGTAATCAAATTATTGACGAAAATAGAAAGCACTATTATCTTCGCATGCTGTTGCATCACGGCTGTTTCGTATGCTTTTTAAGAAGTTTTTTGAATGGAATGTAGAGGGAAGATAGATAAAAAGAATTGACGTGTGTATATGCTAGATATTCTGTCATTTCTGTTTACAAGCTTGAGATTACTCTATAGTTGGATCTTATCAGCTCTGATATTAAAGATTCAAAACAAAAATAATATATACGATACAAAAATACTTTAATCGTTAAATAATATAATTTTAAATAAATTTGGAAGATATATTATTTATAATATTGTAAAAAATATATACAAGGTGAGTCTTGTAACATGATGACCTCGAGTAATTCATAAAATATTTGTTATGCGAAAAAATGCTTCAGATAGATATTGCACGAGTTCCAAGAGGACATATAGTAATCTATTCAATTTTATGCTATTCTGCATTTTTATCAAGGTATGAAGGTCACCTTCAATTTTCTAAATGGACAGTTAATATTTCTTCTTGAATTCGAATGAAGTGTTGAATTCTACATAAAAAGGTATTACTATTGTTATATATAGTATTACTTTACTTTAATGATACTATTAAAGTATCTACATTAAAATGGGGTCTAAAATACATAGTATATACGTTATATTTTATTTATGTGTATATATGTATACATATATTGTATGTATAAGTCAGAATGGAAATAAGAAATTAACAGAAAAAATAGAAATAATAAAATTAAAAATGGTGTAGTAATTCATGTTCATTTCATGTCTGCGTGTTTTCTTAAAACGAAAAAGTAAGAGCAGAATTACTCTAGAGGTAATATACTGGCTCTTTACGCTAAACCAAACCACATAAATATCTCCTTTGTTTTCAGCACCATAGAGGAACTATTCATAGCACTATATGAATACGAGGAATACAGTAAAAGAATAAATTTAAAAGAAACTAAGGTTTTTTCATTCTATTTCTAGATTTCTAAGGTCATGAGGTAATTTTTCTATTAAAAAAGTATATTATATATTGTATGGTATACGTATCTATAAATAAGTATGTTTGATAAGCAAACACTCAAAGTATGTTTGAGTATATTTACAGCATGAGATTAAACTGACCTTGAACCCCAAAAGTGTGATATTATACTATAAAACAATGTAAAAAATGTATATGTTTTAGCTTGAACAGTTTATATAATGCTTCTTCTATGTTATTAATCAAAGTTAATACTGATTTAAGACTATAATGAGGAAAAAGGTAGTAATTATAGAGAAAGTCGATGCGATGTGAATATTTCAGTAAGGGCTGTCAAAGAAACGTGTGACATTCGTCTGTCACGTGAGTCTATGTAAAGCTACCATTAATCGATATTTAATCCCGCTAACGATGAGCTAAAAATGAATGAATGAAAATAGTCAAGACCAGCATTTCCCATCGCTGGCACAGTTCGTCACATTTCATGAATAAAAAGGAAGAGACTTCTCAGATAACGAATAGCATTCTACTTGATTTCTCAAAGTGCTGCCCGAAGACATCGATGCACTTGACATGCCTTTGACACAAAGCTTCGAAACTCTTGCTAAAGTCCACAGTTGGAATGCAGATCAGAGCACTCGTCACATTTCACCGAATGTCCTCGACATCTTGCAAATGTTTCCCTTTCACGATGGTTTTCAACTCCGAAGACAGTATAAAATCCCGAGAGGCGAGTGGTTAATCACTAGAAGTTTCTTCGCTAAAAACTGCCTCGCGAAGGTCCCGTTACGAAGAGGGCGCTGTTACACGGCGAACCTAACCTAATTCTTTAACCAATATTTGCTAAATTGCTTCTCTGTTGATCGTAATCTCGTTTCTCCATCGTTCTTAGGATACGAGTATGATTATAATAGGGTTTATCTATCAGTTCTGACAAGTTCTTCCAGTTCGTGAAGATTTCTGTTAATCCTGGTGGTTCATGAACGTCCATTTGCTGACTATTATCTCTGCTTTTACAATCTCCACGAAGATCAGAGTGTCACTCAAAGATACAATTTAAATTTCAAATAATGTCTTTAATATTTTTGTCACATTAGGCACAAATGTTAGGTTATGAAATTTAGGTGCCACCTTCATTAAAATAGTAGTTGGTCGAAATGGTTAAAATTCAATTTGTTCAGGAAATTTATAGCTACTTGTAAAATACTGTCGACAAAAATGATTTTACAGGAAAATTATATTTAAAAATGATTGAAAATGATATGATAAAAATGATGATTATTACATTCATTATATAAATAAAGGACAAGAATGATTCAAAATGAGTTCAGATTACTCACAATTTTAGAACAAATGGAAAGAAATATTATCAAAATGAAACCAAGAATTAAGAAAAAATTATATTCCTAATTTAGAAAAAATTAAGGTTACCTACATTATACTTTTATTGGTATAAATAATTGATTCAAATTAACTATTTAGGCAGCTTAAACACATATGCAAAATAAGAAGCGTAAAGAAATTATAGCTCTAATTATTATTTAAAATTATAGTTTACATATAGTTTATACTAATTTAAATTATAGTTAAAAAATTTTAAACTCACGTTTTGAATCTGGCCTAAGAACTTTATTTTCAGTCATTGGGTTATAATAAATGAATTTAATTATAAGAAAGCAATACAGAAACAGCAAAATATTATGAACTACTTAGGCAGCTTAAACACACGTGCAAAATAAGAAACATAAAGAAGTTATAGTTTTAATTATTAATTAAAATTATAGTTTACACATAGTTTATAGTAATTTAAATTATAGTTAAAAAATTTTAAACTCACGTTCTGAATCCAATTAAAAAACTTTATTTTCAGTCATTGGGTTATAATAAATGAATTTAATTATAAGAAAGCAATATAGAAGTAGCAAAATATAATATTGATCTTATACAACCTTCAGATCACAGATGTGGGAAATGACATCATCGACGCATAAATTCAAAAAGGATAGAAAAATTATAATATATCTAGAATAATTGAAACTCACGTTTCAGCCCCAATCGAAGAATTTCATTTTCAGCCATTGGGGTAGATTAAATTAATTATAAAATAGCGATATGGAAACGATGAAATATCACGCAGCTCATATACAAGTCTTTCGTCATGGATGTGGAAGGTTATCGAATTGTTTCACGTTTGTGGTACTGATTAATTGTCTCGTTTCACGGACGACGTTGAGAACTGGAAATACAAGCCCCAGGTATTTCCTCGTGCGCGGGATTAAAGTGGTTCATTATTAAGAAATGCGCCAGAGAATAAGAATGGCGTAGCGTGGAGGTTGGAAAGGACGGAATTGAAAAGAAACGGGATGGAAAAGAATCCACCCTTTGCCTCATTCATTCTCGCAATCGAATCGATTGGAAAATATGCCAATTTCAAATTGTCCTTGCAATATTGTGAGATTGAATCTAAGGGACTCTTTGTTGTGGCAAACTCAGTATATATATGAGCCCTTCACTGCGCAAATCGATTAACTCCACTTTTTGAAAAATCTTAAATTTAAGTGTCAAAGCACTTGGTATAGTCATAACTTTTTATATTTATAATAACTTTTCCTGATAATTAGGATTAACACCATTAAACGACAGAAATTTTTTGGCCACTGAATAATAAATAATTTATTTCACAGGTCACTTTGATTAACTCCGTACTCTAATGTAAATCGTTGCAATAATGCAACTCAAATGCACTAGCAAGCCATGAATGATAACGGTGAATATTTTAGTGCCGTCTTATCAGAATTTAAGTAAAATTTAGTAAAATTTAAATTTATTACTTTTTTCACTTGCCAGATCGATTAACTCTTCCAGTAACATAAAAATGATAACATTACTAACGACTACCTTTTGGCTATTTTTTCTTATAAATTTTATATACCGTTAGATGAAAGTTACATTTATATTTATGCATTCTACGATATTTATTTCGATTTTAATTATAAAGGGAATTTTAAAAAACAATATACATTATTTCATTGCATTTCTCCACTTTTTGTTTTATGGAGTTAATCAATTTGTGCAGTGAACAGCTCATATAAATGACAATATTTAAAATGTTTGTTACACAATTGATAATTGTATGTTAATTTGTGGATAGACAAATTTCGTTTATTCGAATTTGAATTGTTAGACGATTATTTAAAGCTTTATGAAATTTCTTTGAAAAAATATTTATGTTACGTATAATTTACTATGTAAGTTAAATATTAATTGGTATTCAAATATTTTGTCATTCTTGGATTAAATTTACATTTAGATTTAAGATAATAGCTCCAGAGCTGAATGCTAGGAAAGATTTTTGTGTTATTTTCATATTTTAGTATAGGACTATTTTATATCACGTAATAATAATTATTAATGTTATTAATTTTATCATTAATATGAATTAATATCGATGTATTATTCATTTACTGAAAATATTTTAACATTGAACTAATATTACTTTATTTTAATAACATTTTCTTCCTATTAATATGAATCCTACAAATAAATTAAATTTCTATTACTAAAATTTCGGGAGGCGAATATGATCATATAAATTTCGTCAAATTTATTCTAATTAACTATTTAATTATATTGTCCTAACAATTTAGGAAGAAAAGGAAAAGACAGTATTACTTCTAGTTTTCATTTTGAAGATTTAACTGTTTAATTCAATAATTTAGGAATTT